TTTTTGTTTATTCTCTTTAAGCACAAAGCTTCGCAACCGCGTGTTTGTGCGTATCTAAAAAAAAATAATCTATATAATATCGATCGATTTCCCCACCTCACGATTCGTATTCGGACGCACCCTGCAGTTTAACCCATAGGACCACCATAATCATGGACCAATCAACTTGGAATAAGAGCGTTCAGCTAACCATCCAGTTATAATATGTGGAGCCCGGCAAACCTCACATTCCTGCTAGGGTCTCCATAATATATACTGTGTCTATCAAAATTCCACGTGGAGGTCTGTCTCAATATATACATATATCGATCTACACACACGTGGATGTGAATTCGTCATTATTAACAAGTAGTAATAAATCCCGGCATGCACGCTCCCGTAGTATTAGTATTCGGTCAGGACTACAAGTTTTGGGACTGGTTGACGCCCCAGTTTATATATATCTGTATTTAAAATATATGTTGTTAATATGTGTGTCTATCACTTTATATATACTTATGTAAAATCGTACCTATTATTCACCTTTTTTAGTTGACAGTTTTTATGCCAATGGACTTTTCTGTTACATCAACGTAACTTTACTTTTATTCGATGATTAGTGATTTAATAGAATTATTCTTTATTCTCTCCATAAACAACACGTGTTTGTGTTTATTTATTTAGGTGAATATAATTTTCCTTTTTTCTCCTAACAAAAATCCTAGGACTCCAGTCTTCGGACCTCGGTTCTAGATTGGCGACCTTGCTCCTAGGCGGGTAGTCAGCTGGGCACTCGGAACGGTTCTTAAAACAAGACCAACCGAACCGTGACGTCTCAATCTAATTGGGTAATCAATATGGGTTTTAGTTTATTGAAAATTGGTTTAAAATCGTCTTTTAAAATTAATTTACATTTAATTTTGTTATAAGTACCTAACGTATCAGTAAAATCTTCATGGAAACTATGAACTAGCTCTTGTAACCTATTTGAATAATTTGGGAAAACAATATTATTTATTTCAAAATCAATATTAATGGCTGAAATGGCTAAACTCATGACTTATTGCATTATGGTTATTTTATTTTCAATTTGAACTTGTTATAAAACTTGAATATTATTATTTTTAATACCTACCTGCTCTATCTGGAATGATATGTCAACGTCTACACTATCAGGCACTAAATAGTTATTCAATTCACTTTAATAAACTTGTTTATCCTTATTACCCATATTACTTTTATCATACTTTTGAGTTTTACATTAGACCACGGTAGAACTTTGTTAGTCTTATTTTTTTAAATGCCCTTTTCTACTACATATTTCACAACTACGCTCTTTAAAATAATTTCAGAGATTTAAGCACTTTATAGCCTTACTGCCAATTAAGATTAAAAATAGAGCTGCTTAACTGTTTTTTATTTTATTCACTAGAATATATAGTTCTTAACGGTCGGCTCAAGTCTCGAAATCTTCCTCTAAAAGTTTCAGTTCTTCCACATTACCAAATTTCGCCATCATATAATTATACCGTGTTTCTTCTTTTTTTATATTTCCTGTTCGGAAAAATGTTGCTTTTATTCACTTTTACGTGGATCCCATCTTCGTTACCACTTTAGTGTCCACCAGTTTTTTTAAGTATACGATACATTATTAAGGATATAGAATATTATGTTTATATTAAATAAAACAGTTAGTTTAATTATGGAGAATACATATTCATTAGAGAGCACATTTCATGACTTATTTTATATTAAAGCAAACAAAACAGTGTTCATCGAACATTTGATTGTTGAACCGATAAAAAAAAACGACAAAAGAGTGTTGCCAAACACTACAGAGTATTTAATATTTCTAAGTCTGTATAATTATCAAAACTTATAGCATGGTTATTGTTTAAACCATGTATAGCAATATTTGAATTAGGGGCAGTATTTTTTAATATTATTTTATAAATGTGTTCTTTATATTTCATTTTAAAAATTTTAGTTGTATTTTCTATTTTTTCTATTCTATTTTCAATATCTATTTACGAAGTATTACAATTACAATTAAGTTTATATATACTAGCATTTACAAAAGAAGAAGGATTTTTTGTGAAGTTTTTAGTTCTATTGTTAACATACTTGATAAAACTATTATTAGTCTTAAAAGCGATTTTTATATTAATTGTATAGTTTAGTTAATTGATAGTTAAGTTATTTTTTTTTTCTTTTATAAATAAACTTTTTATCTATATAATTATTTCCTTTATTTATTTACAAATATTAACCATTTTAATATATTTGTTTGTATTTTATTATATTATTATACGTATACAGGCGTGCTATCACAGTACTGCACAAGATTGGTGTGGGCAAATTGCATAACAGTTTTACATTAAGAGCAATAATATTATATTCACAAAATAATAGTTCTTCGCCGAGAAAAATTTTGAATATTTTTTTTTCACTGCATCCAGATATTCTTAATAAACAATATATAACGATTAGGTCTTAAATAAAATAATAAAGTCAATATACAAAATTATACATTATACTACACAGGGAGAAATTTAAATAAACTCTACAATTTACGTTTTAAGTAATGTACTTTTTCTATATTTCCCATTTGTTTAAATTAAACAGTACATTATGCGTGTATATTACAATGATTAATTATTCGTAGGGTATTAAGGTGCTCACAAACCAGAGCGGTAACGGTAGTGATAAAAATATTGCCGACTTAACCAAAGCGAAATATTACAGCGAAATCGCGTGATAGTAGGTCTTCTATAATATTTCATTTTCACCTTGTTTTAACTTTCGATAACCATTATACTTATAGTTATACATTATAGACCACGTTTAGTATATATTTTATATTTCACACATGTGACTTGCCTGATCAGTATTTATTTGATTCACATCTGTGTCATCATAGATAACTATTATATAGATTATGATGATTATACTTTAATACTTTGTACAAACGTACGACGAACAAAGTCAACAAACCAAACTAATATTGATAAAATTGTAATACGCCGAGTACCTACGTACCCATGAGTTTAGAACATTTATCGTTTATCATCGAGGTCTATATCGGACTATATACGTATACAGTGGCGTATCAAAAGCTCAAATAAGGAGGGAGCGGTTTAAAAACTGTAATACATAACAAAATACCTCGAGGGTTTTCCTCGTCGCCCCAAAAAAGCAAAAGTTATCATATTTTTTTTTTTTTTTTAAATTCCTCTCTTTGGCATTTATAAAAAATAGTTTATAGGCTTAAATTATAATTAATAATATATTTATATATACTTAAAAAAATTATGTATCAATTACGATCAAAAGCCGAAATCGGGCAAATTTGAAATTTATAGTCGTTACGGTTTTTCCTAAATGATGTTGGTTAATAAACTTTATAAATTTATTTGGAAAACAGCCAAAATATGACATTTTGCCCAAGTTTCGTGGACATTTCACGTTTCGCCTGGAAATTTCCGTAACTTGTACGATTTCGTCGTTTACCTTTAACGGCCGTAACAAAATATACATAATATTTTATGTTCAAAAAGGGTTGATTAGAAAATCAAAAGTGCATTTTTAATTAAGGTATATGAAATATGGGTAAACAATTAAAAATGGTTATAAAATAAAGCTTAAACGACTCCATTATAATTAAAAAAAAATAGAAATCAAATTTATTTAAAATCATCTGAGATAATTGCTGGTAAAAAAGTCACTGTGTATATTCATATCGAATTATACATAAATTGTTTTTTAATAATTTTAAAGCAATATTAATCTTTATTCTTCTACGAACTAATCTATGATGATCACTATTTGACCATCCGCATTGATATCTCTTGCAGGTATATGTATTAAAGATAATAAATTGCCCTAATCTTATCATATCAGATATAACATGTAGTTTTACATTTTTTCGGTATCAATTTGGGGTTTAATTACCGGTTTTAAAATATTTATTATTTTATAAGATATTTAACCTAAAAACAATTGTAATGTTACAAAATTTGTGCATCAGTTGCTGATAACAGTATGCACGAGTTGGCCGTCCGGTGTCGTTCCCCCGGTCTGTTCGGACAGCTGACCGCGAACAGTGAATAACCAGTTAGACGATTGTGATAATCCCCGCACTAACTGGTTTGATGATGTTGTCGCCACTGCTGCCCGACGTCCCGGTCACCACCGAGTCCCACATCAAAACTACATAGTTAGTTACGATTCGACAGTGGGATTGATACAACATCGTAAGCCCAAACTGTCCGCGCCGAGTGGGTCTCAAAACAAAAAGAAAAATACACTTTTCTTTTTGTCATGATGTTCGGCGCCAACATGATGGGCTAGACGTACCGACTGTGNGCAACAACAACAGTAATATCAATCAGAATAACCAGCAACCCCCTAAAATTTACCGAATTAATAATATTTTTGTTTTTTTTTTTATCTCAGCACTTTTCCTAATTTTGTTTTCCCCCTCTAGTCCATTTCTAGACCGTTCTAAGATTCACGTTACAAAATTATAATAAATATAAAATCATTAATGGACCGAGCTCTCTCTCTCTTTTTTTTTTTCTCTCCCTTATTTAAAACTAAAACATGACCAACAAAAACCTACTAGTTCAGCCAACGCAACTTTGTTGTGTTTGGTCCGGCTTTTAGGTCACTGTTGAGTGTTCCCCCTCAACAGTGGGTAATGAGTAAGCCAACCGAGGTGGAGGCCGAAACCTTACACAATAAAGTCCGAGAAAATGAATTTATTTTAATTTTAAAATATTATTCTAATTTACTAATAAAAAAGAAAATTTTGGTTCAAAATTTCTAAAATAATAATTATTATTTTGAAAATAATACAACATTATAAGAATTACACTTTAAAAATCCTAACTCAGTAATGTTACTGACAAAATATGTGTAAATATTTAATTTATTATAGATTTCCAGATATATTATACGAATATTGTGTTGAATAAACAACAAATTACTTACATAGTTTTTTAGTCGTCGTCTTAAACCACTATAAACTTGTGTGAAAAATTTTTTTTTTTATACGTAAGATACTCAACAGTCAAAATTTACAATGAAATGTTTAATTGTAATTTTTATAATTTTTGTTACGGTCTTCATCGACATATGCAGATCATATAAGATAGTTGGTAAATATGCATCATTTATGAGAATTACGAATAACGGATGAGTAATAAAGTCTTATTTTGTTTTAATTAAAAAATATACACTTTTTAAGTTTGGTAATGTTTTTATTAACATTTTATATACATGATACGATTTTCAAAATATTTTGACTAGTATGGTCATATTTAGTTTCGACAAAATATCGAAAATTTACAAATATTTTATAATAATATAGGGGTTTTGCAGGAACTACTCGAATACTTGAATATTTTAAAATTAGGATAATAATTAATTCGAATTTATTTGGATATAAGGCTTAATATACGTAGTAGACAAATACGTATCTAATATTCATATATTTGTATTAACCCTTTCTGCATTAGTGTCTTAAATGATGGACGTTTGATGACACGAAATGTTTGGTTAGATTAAATACATATAAATAATTTAGGTATGATAGCGTTTAATATTTTATGTGATAGCATAACATGTCTAGTTAATAGATAATGGAATAATTTATCTTTTATTGTGTATCAATTGATTTATAGATAATATAAATCTCGTAATGTAGTGATAACAATTATTTGTTGTTATCAGAAACCTTATACCAATTGAACCGAAACTTATATAACTACATTATAAGCTGTGTGGAAACATTTCGCAGTGATGTAGCCCGCCTTGACACTATAGTCTGTCCCAGGAGAGAACGGTCCGCTCTCTGACCAAATCGAAGCGCTACTGCGCATCCCCCTGCCGCAACACTATCCATTTATTCCCTCCCGGATCTATCGACAGGTTTTGTACACTGCGTTTCAAATAATGCACTGTTGTCTGTCGATAGTCCACTGTTTATCGCCAATATGACAAAAATGATAAATTGTAATTTTAACGAATAAAAAATGAAATGTTTTAATATAATTATTTATTATTTATTAAATATATATCTCTGTGTTATACCTACTTTATTATACCTACTGAATTATACCTACAGTGTTCAATAAGATATTAAATAAATAAATAAATATGTATACAAAAAAAACAAAGTCTGGATTATTATAAAAGGTGCTTGTATATACGATAGTTTACGATTTGAAAAATTATCAAGAGGTTATAAAACAGCAAAGATAAATAAACGTGCGATGCGCGATGTTTGATTATAATAACAATTGAATTTCTACAAAATATCCTAGCGGTGTATAGTCATAAACCGACGACGGAAGAAATGACAATCGGCTATGTGGAGGGGGAAAACATGCGCAAAAGCGGACCATGCTCTCCTGGGACAGGCTATAGATGTACTAATTTTACAATATAATACGATAATGCAAACTATGCTCGTATGCTTGCTGTACACACGTCACATAATCAACGAATTAACAGAGAATAATTTTATTTAACTTGTAATTTATATTTTGTCCTAATAGACAGATCGTAGGTACTAGTAATATTATATTGGGGCATCGGGCAGTTAAGTATACTAGGTACTTGAATATTCAGAATATAGATTTACGAGTTCAAAAAAAAAAATAATTAACTTGCCAAGCTTTGTGAACATGAAACTAATTGTATAATTTTCTGTTGCATTTAAAAATGATTACAATTTTTTTTACTGTAGGCCAGGGTCTCAATGAGATGTTTGAGCCCAAAGGTAAGATACGTTTAAACATATCAGAATACATCTAAATCAAATATTCTGAAAATGTATTCAGATATTTTACATTAATAATATTTTTGATGTCTAATAAAAATAATTTAAAATTAAGTCTATGATTTTATATATTATACGATGTTTATTAAATAATAATAATTCTATTTCAATAATTATCAATAATATGAACTACTTAATTTATTTATTTAAATTCTTCAGTTCATTGGCAAAACATCAGTGCTAAACACACATTCATTGGTAGTACTATTGATCATACGAGTATAATTTACCTCAGTGCGTGCCACTTCGGCGAGAAGCATTATAATAATTGTCGGACAAACTTTTCAAAATTGGTTATACAAACCACGCACTAACTAAAAATGTTTTTTAAAACTAATTGAGGGTTTGCCATCCATCCATCCACCTTTTGATAATTCTCTATTTACAAAAATACCCATTTTTTTGTATTTTTTTTTTTACAATTTATTTAGATATATTATAAAAAGTAATAATATATAATTTGTACTATGGTAATAATGTAAGTTGATAATAATTAAGAAATTAGTATTTAATTAAGTAGTGAAATATTTGCTAAGAATAAACCAAAAATAATTTAGTATCTTAAGACAATTTATAGTACCTTAATTTTAGATTCGGAGCGTAGCGTGGGATCTATCGATTTTACTATGATGAATGGTTTGTTTTTCTGTCCTGAAAAAAAAGAGTGTTAAAACAAATTTTTAGTTCAGTACAAAGTACTTCATGTTTAGTTATCAGTTTTGTCCGAGCGGAGCGTAAACCATCAATAGTCTTCAGAATGTCATCAAGAGACGATCCTAGCTTAATATTAGAAGGTAACTGGGGTTTGATGGAACTAGATAAAGAAGAAAGACTATGAATTGGTGAGTTTATATCGGTTTCCACGAAAAAGAGAGAAAGGCGCCCGGACCTATAAGAGAACGGAAAAGTACTATACGAAAGTTATATTGCTGCTTTTGCCTATAAAATATACACAATTTGTGTACAAATTAATTTTACTAAATAAAATTTTTGAAAACTTTTGAAAGATTTAACAAAAATATAAAAATTATTAATTTTGAACTAAATCATGACGAGAACAAAGAACTGTAAATTTACATTTTAAACTTAATTTACAATTATAAATTTTAATTACAGAATTAAAAAATTACTTGATTATATGTAACTAAAATATAATTTAATAATTTTCTATGGTATTGGAAAATAATAATTATTTCTTTTTTTTACTCAAGGCGCTAATTGGCGTGTAAGTACATCGGAATACACTAGTAAGATATTTCTTAAAACTTTAATAATTCGTATAATTTTTAAGTATAATATTCTGATTATGTATTTGAATAGGTAATATTAAGTTCTTATCTGACTTAAATCCGATACAGTCGTTCGCTGTTCATCACTCATTGTTATGTTCGGTTATCTGGGTTTTACGTAAATAAACACTATTAAAAAACTATTATAAAAACCAAACTCTTGCAATGTGAGAGTGTGCCAAGTGCTTAAAAAATCTAACCTATTTTGACGAAGTTTTTCCATGCAATAAATATAATAAAAATACAAATTTCTATGGTAATGGAATTTCTGAATCGCAACTCAAAAAAAAGATTATACTTCGCACGATGGATGAAGTCACTGTTGTTGGTGAGAAGTTGGTAAAGTAGAATATAGAGGAGAAATTAATTTGTATCTGTAAGTAACGATAAATCTATACTTAATAAACAAGATATTGTGTAGAGTTTTGTTGATAGTGATGCTTTTTCAACAATATGTATGCCATACTATTGTAAACAATTTAAACAGGCATTCTATATTTACTTAAATAATATTTGTTTAATATTGCGCTGATTTTCCCGTTTTTTACGTTTTTTCGCGGTTTTTCACATTTACTGGGAAAACTCTTGAGAAAATGACTTCCTTAAAGTACGTTTTCACTCAGATTTTTTTTTCCACAAAAAGTGC